CTTCGAAGGAAATTTATCGTGGCAGTTGACAGGCAGAAAATCCAATGGAAATACCCCTTTGAACCAGGTTGTTTGGAGTTGGCAGGGTTTCTCAGACTGACCCAAACTACTTCGAGGTGGTTAGAGGAGCTTCGAGAGGACCCCGAGGGTGTCTCGAAGCCATTGGAGAAGACGAAACCTGATTTGGTTTAGTTTTGAACATTCTATGAACCAGAACGTAAACCAGGGTCAATCCAACCTGAATTACCGTCCTACCACCTTAATTACAAATTTCCGACATTTCTACTGTGCCGCGAGAAACAACTTTCTCCTGTCTGTCCCGTCTTCGTGTCTGTAGGCTCTGTCGATACTAATATTCAGACATTTCTACAGGTATGGTCGATCATATGCCGGGAGAAAGGCAACTTTCTTCTGTCTGACCCCGTCTTTTCCACTAACTCAGCCAACAGGGGCAGGCCGAGCCGTAGTAGCTGGGTTCTCACCTTTCTTCGACATCGCCAGTTACATCAACCTCTTTACAGTACGGTAGTCTTGCTGGAAGCTCAGCTTAAGGGTGACTTTTTGAACCAAGTCAGCAGGTTCAAGCTCAGCTGTAAAAACGATCTTTACAAACACCAATCGAATTTGGATTGTCATTGCGAGTGGCGCCTTGGACATTGTAGCCCAGTTGCAATGGCGCGCTGCGTCAAACTGCTAAGGACTTGCGCTAAATGCGCCAGCTGTTGGTGGCATGAAAGGGCGCAGCAAATCATTAGGTGGTTGCACCACATTGCACGGCGCAGCTGGCAGCTGCAAGAGGTGATGCTGCTTGGCATTTTTCAGCTGCTGTCTGAGCTGGTAGTGCAAGTTGGCGCTGGCAAGAGCTGGCGCAGGCCCGCAGCTGGTGGCTATCTTTCAGGGGTAGGTGTTGAGCTGGGGGCGGCAGGCAGTGGCATGGTGGTGGCAAGGCGTGGCGGCCTCAAGTCACCTTCCATGTTTGCCATGTGGCTAAAATCCACCCCATCTTGGAAGATTCAAGAAACATCTTCAGAAAGAGAGAGGAGCTTAGGCCTGCATACAAGCATCTTCAAGGGGCAGAGCATGCAAGGAGTGCGGCAAGGCAGAAACGTCTAGTTGTCTTGACACGGGGGCCAGAGACGCACAGCACAATAAAAGCGGCACGCTCTTGCCAGCGATTGGTAAGTACCATCCTTCTCTCCACTGCATGTGCTGTCACCAGGTCAATTGTTTTTGATATGCTCTGCATGCTCTGCTTTCCTGGTCAAGTGAAGGATTGTAGCACATGCAAAACAAGTGCCAGGGTCTGGCGCCACTGTCGTTGCTCTGATTGTGCGCTTGCTTTTGGGCTGATTGGAGGCTTGCTAAGGAGCTGATTTGGAGCGCGTCTCTGATTGTGTTATGATTGGTATCAACATGTTCGATGAAAGTGGATGCAATGATCTTTTCGTCCCATGTAAAGATTTGGAGTCAAACCTTCTCCTCTTGCTTAACCTTCCAGGGGTCCCGGCTGATGGTGTATACTGTGTGCTTCTATGTGCCTCTGAGGTCAGCTTTTCATGCAACCAAGTATGCCAAAGCCTGTCTGTGTTGTGGGCACTTTCTACAGCAAAAGCGCAAAGCATGCAAGTCATATTGCTTCTCTGAGCTTCGTATCTACATGAACTGGATTGGCAAGAGGGCGCAAGCTGACTTGCACCCGCTGTCAGGCTGATATTACGCCCGCTGTCGGGCTGACGTGTTGCTTGTCGTTTGGCTGATTTAGCGCTTGCTGTGGGGCTGATTTGTTGCACTTTGTCGGGCTGACTTGAGGCCTGCTGTGGGCTGCTTTTGGACCCGCTGTTGGGCTGATCGAGAGCCCGCTGTTGGCCGATGTCTTACTTGCGGTGGGGGCTAATTTGAAGCTTCTTGTTGGGGTTTTTTGGTCCTGCTGTGGGGCGAATTCCGAGCTTGCTGTGGGGCTGTTTGCCCCCCGCTGCCCGAGCTGGCTCGTGCCCCTATGGAGCTGGATTAAGGCCGCTGCCAGGGTTGGTTTGGGGTCTGCTTTGGGGCTGATGTCGGGCCTGCTGTGGGTCTGATTTTGGGGCCGTCGTGGGCTGGTTGAGGCCCGTTTTGGAGCTGATTTGGGGTCTTGCTGTTGGGCTGATTTGAAGCTCATTGTGTTCTGCTTGGTATTGCTTGTTGTACCCGGCTAATCTCGTGGCTGCTGTCGTGCTGATTCAGCACTCATTTCGGGCCGACCTTGGGCCGTAGGACGTGGGGCCTGCAAGCTGCATGATATGCATGTTTCAAAGTCCACGCTTGCGAATGAGTACTGAGCACCAGCTCATCCTTTTGCCGCGTTGAATTGCAGAAGATGGGACTGTACGAGCCTGCAAGCCCGGTCTACTCGGGCCCAAGCGCATCTGAGGAAGGGTCGACCAAGCGTTTGGCAAACAAGAAGCGTCGTCGTAACATCGTGGAGAATCCTCAACTGCAAGACACAGTCGCCAGCGATCGGCTGCACGTTAAAGCATTAAAGGTGAGACTTGCCAGCTTTTGACCCATCAGACCAATCGAAAGTGTTATAGGCTCGGATGCGCTTGTGATGCCTGAAGTGCACGCACACAATTTGGCGCATGTTCATTATGCGTCGAGTGTCTGGCGCATGTGGTTGAGTCTGGTTCTTGAGCACTCAGGTGTAATGCAAGAACGAGAACCCTTTTCTGCACGTGACCTATTGTGAGCTTCACGATTGGTGGTTTTTGAAGTCGCCCTTAAGTCTGGAACTGACTGACTCTTTAAAGCATCAGCAAACAATTGATGCATGCCCCTTCTTCGTCTCCCTTTCTCCAGGTCGATGAAACCCGAGCGAGAGGAGAGCTCGAAGGACAACCCAAGACCCAGGAAGCGCTGCCGCAGGATGACGGGGGTGGGGGGGAATCCCCGCACAGCACTGCACTTGATGTGGTGAGGCTGGCGTTAACTCTTGCACCCGGCCATTCCACCAATCATCTGAATGTCTCCATACAAGGCGGATCCATGCTGATCCAACTATTGACCACAAGTTTATCTGGTTGTGCACAGTCAAGTCATCGTTCATTTCATCAGAGCCTGGCGCATGCTTTTAATTGCTTGCCTCGCAAACACGACAGCATATTCATATGATTATTTCGTCACCGCCCATTCCTCAGGGCTTGGCTGGCAGGCAAGACTGCCAAGCAATTCCACGTGTTCTTGTGCCGCCAGCCGCGCTCCGCTCCTCTGGCAGACACGTCAGACAGTGCTCAGAGACATGTATGTCTTCTGCCGCCGTTGCTCATCTTACACTCTCCCTCTGCAGACAAGAAACGACTCTGCGAAGGAAGAGCTCCGCTCGCCTGAGGTCCGGCCCCATGTAAGCGCGCGCACTGCCGACCCCATGGACGAGGTGGAGAGCGGCGCGGCCGGTGGGGCGCAGTTGAGCGCGGGACCCGCAACAACTGTGGTGAGCCATGACGCGGGGTCCTCTCTCAGAGAGGACAGGACGGACATCAATGTCTTTTTCCTGTCGCCGTCCTTGCTCTCATGCATTTTGCCTTTTGTGCTTTAGCAGACAGACAGGATGGACATTAAGGACGTGTCTCTGTCCTGTCGCCCCTCTGCGCTCTGATGCTCGTCGCCCTTCGTGCTTCTTAGGCCTAGCAGACACGATCGACAGCAAAAACACGTTATTCTCCTGTCGCCGATTCTCAGTGTTCCAGCTCTTTCTCTGCAGGTGGATGCCGCTTCGGCAGAACAAGGGGTCCGCTCGCCTGTTGCGAGCACACGCACTGAGAATTGCGTAGACAAGGTGGAGAGTGGCGGGGCCAGCGATGCAGAGTCGAGCGCGGACGCGCCCTGCGATGCAGGCCCCATGCCCATCGGGGTTAGGATCCCGCGCTCACCACTATGACTGTGCATCTGCTTTTGCTCATGCATCAGCGGGCTCATACAACCAGCTCTTTCAAAAATGTATACAGAATCGTCATTGGTATTCTGGTGGTGTACAATCACACGGATTCAGCTATTCGTTCGCTCTTGCTGCCAACTCGTGGGGCAATATTGGCTCTGACTCTTCTGCACGATGCCTTGGTTGGCTTTGGATGTCTTCGCCCGGTCGTGGTACCTTCAAGCGGATTCTGCTTGCACCCTGGTACCTAACGGAATTGACTTTTGTGTAGGCGCTGGGACTCGTTGTAGGATGGTCCAGTGCAAGGCTGGTTTTGAGCTCGTCTTTAGGCTTCGCCCCTAGTAGTTCTTCTCCGGGGCTGCTGTGGGCCTCATTTTACGAATGTGGTCAGGTTGATACTGGGCCGCCAATCAGGCGGTCAGGCTGGTGTTGAGCGGCAGTCAGGTTGACCTCTTGATTGACTGTGGCCCTTGTTCTGGACAACTCACTTGAGGCCAAGCTTCATCAACGCAGTGAACAGCTTGTACATTTTGTGTACAACTTGTCTTACTACCTACAATCTGCCTAGTTATCATTCTTAAAAAAGTTGTAGCCAGTGATAAGAAAAATTGGTTGTATCCATAAATCATTACGGGTGTGACATCCAGAAGTGGTTGGTCAAAGCAGTGTCCCATGGAAGAAACCTCGAAAGTCGTGGCCGCACGTGGCTTTGCACTGAAAGCGCCTCGCCTCTGCCAGATGGTCGCAGACCCTTTTTGCGGGCAACAGGTGCAAGAGGGTCGGACGGGCGGCACCGACGCAGAAGTGGAGGCCGAGGGGAGCTCTGAGGGGGCGTCTTCTTTTGAAGAACCAGACCTGGCGGACCCCGAGCTTCGGTCGGAGGTGGTGCGCGAGCTCGAGAAGCTGCTGTCGACCTGGGGCGACAACACCTCGATCTTTTGCGCCGCCAAGCCGCCCGCCACGGGCCCTGGGGTCATCTACGGGTTCCAGAACGCGCCTGGCGGGCGCGTGACGTGCCCCTACTTCCCGGCAACTCGCGCGAGGGTGCACGACAGCACCAACTTCGGGCTCCTGCGGCGGGGGTCCGAGGTGACGTACATCTGCCACGGGGAGAGCTGCAAGGCCACCCCGAGGTCAGGCAACTTCCGCCTGGGCGTTCTCCCCCTGCCGATCGCCGCGGCCTTTGGCGACAGCCCGCCCCTGAACAGCGAGAGGGACCACCTGTTCTCCGACCGGCAGCTGCTGCCGCTGCCCTTCCTTCGAGAGAACCTGAATATCAAGAAAGGTGAGTCGAATGGTCGTCAGTCAGCACTGTTTCTCGTGAAGGCGTGACTGGAAATTACGCCTATGAAGCTATCAAGTTACAGCTTGCAATACTGCCCCTTTCTTTGAGAATGCTGTGGTAGGCCAGGCCTACGGTTGCTACCTCCAATCGCATTCTAGATTTTTTACTCTTTGCTCGCTCAACTCGAGCAGACCTGCAGGCCCGTTTGGCCTTCTAACAACCTGACAACTTGTAGGGCGCACATCTTTGTTGTGTGATTGCATCCTTTTATTCTTCAGTTTGACAGCAATAGTAGCTCCCGAGCTACAAGGTCCCTACAACTGCTTTTGCTTTCTAATGAATTCCGCACGTGTCTGTTCTTCAATCTAAGAGCAATGGTAGCTCGCGAGCCACGATTGGTCCTGCAGCTGCCTTTTAGCAAATCTCGCACGTTTTTCCGTTCTTCAGTCTGACAGCAGTAGTAGCTCCCGAGCTACGACTGGTCGCTACATTTGCTTCTTCATAGAATCTCGCCTTTAGTGCGCGCCCCTTAGCTGCTGGCAAGGACATGTGAGGCTTCTTTCTCAAACAGCAAGTTCTTGTACGTACAGGGGATGTTGGTGGCGCCATCATCCTGGAGCGCCTCTACGCTCGGACGGGCCTGAAATTCGCCTTCACCTCCTCGGGCTCGTACTACTGGTCCGGTCGTTGCTGGGCCAAGGACGAGAGCGGCGGCCGGATCCTGCGGGTGCTCCGCGAGGAGCTCTCCAAGATCGAGGCCGCTTACATGCAAGAAGCAGAACAAGGGGAGGGAGAAGGGCGTTCGATCGCCATGGCCAACGGACCGGCAGGCGATGAAGACAGCGGATTGGCGGTGAAGGGAGGCCCTTCAATCAGGTCGAAGTCGGTGGGTGGCGGGAAGCAGTTCAAGCCGGAGAAGGAGGAGAGGCTGATCAATGTCAACTTCAATGCAAAGATGTCCAACATCATGGGCACATGCAAGGAGTACTTCTATCAGCCCAGCTTCCAGTCCCTACTGGACGTGCAGAAGGACTTCCTGGCTGTGGCGAACGGCGTCATCGACTTGCGGACTGGCGAGCTGCTCCCGCATCACCCCCGGGTGAGTGATGATTCCGTGCTCGCGCAAAAACCGTGCAGATTAGTTTCAAGGACTTCATCAAGAAGTTCGCGTCATGGAGGCATCGGCCAGGTCCACCGGCCAGACGGTGGACCTCCTTTATCAATCAACAATCACTTAGGCAATTGCTCTTGCAATTCAGATGTAGATGGTCACAATCTTGCATTTTGGTGAAAGGACAAAGTATTTGGCTACATCTATCAGGACTATCGAGATTCAGATAGATACAATAAATCGGCTTCTCAGATCGATTATTTGTACGTTTTTGGGAAACCTGACCGTCCGTGCCGTCTTTGCTGTCCGACATTCTCATGGGTCTGCAATTTGCACTGCAGTTCATGAACAGCCGGGTGATCGATTGGCCGTACTTCCGCGCTGGGTTGTCATTTCCGAGGGGCGAGATGGTTCGGTTCTTGGAGGACATCATGCACGCCTCCGGAGAGGATGGGCCGGCCGCTCTGGAGCACCTCCAGGTTCTGCTGGGGTACGGGCTGACTGGTCATACGAGCAATCAGGTATGTGCTCCTTTCAAGTGACTCATGGACTTGATGTATTCACGGGCTTCTTGAAACTTCAACAGCCCAACAATCGCATGAGGTCTTCGGCCATTAGCACGGGATCGCCATTGACCAATTGCTATAAGACCAAATGCTGTGAGACTAGGTTGTGAATCTTTGGCCCATCGACTGCCAGCCATTTATGCGAAGGTCTTGGCGCTTCCCCCGTTTTGTGGTGAAGGTCACAACAGAGGACTCTCGTGGAAGGTGGCCTCCACATCTGCACCCCTGTGAAGTCTTTTCCTCAAAATACTTCTCAGGTACTGCCGATCTTTGTTGGCGAGGGGAGTGCAGGCAAGAGCGTTTTCCTCGCCCTGCTGCGCAAGCTCCTCGGCGCCGCCTTCAAGAATGTCGGCAAGGAGATTCTGGTGAACTCCAAAGGGCAGCGAGCCGCCCACAAGGGGGCCGCTTCGCCGCTCGAAGCGGGTGAGACTCTACCAGAACGTCCTCTTTCTCCAAAAGTCAAATATGATGCTGCATCTCATTCCTTTAGGGATGCATGACAGTTTGTCTGATGGCAAATTATCGTGTTCGTCTTGTCGATCCTGTCTGATCGTCTTGCAAACTACAATGTCCTGACTCAGCATTTACCTCATCGAATATTGTCGGAAATGCAATGATCAGTCCGCCAGCAAATTCTCGTGTCCGTCCTTTCGATCCTGTCTTCTGGGCTATCCAATCTGCGTGTTTTTATCGGAACATCTTTGCTTTTTGCGCAGGGCTTGCTGGAGCGCTACTAGCGGTGGTCGAAGAGACCGACAGATCCGATTCGCTCAACGAGGCCGGTATGAAAAAGCTTACCGGCAGCGATGTCATCACCGCTCGGCCTTTGTTCCGGGACTATGTTACGTTCACCGCAACCGTTCTGGTGAGGCCAATATATGTTCGTCAGCAGTCTATGGCACAGCATGGATTGCGATCGAACTCTTGCACTTGAATGAAGATCAGCAACAGTAGGACTTGATCTCTTGTCAGCGGCAAGAGGGCTTGATCTCTTGTGGCATGCTCGGATTTGTTGAAGTGAGCCAGCCAAACTCTGATTGCGCCCTTTTCGAATCCTTTTTGCAGCTAATCATCTGCACGAACTACCTCCCGCGGACGGACAAGACCTGGTCCGTTGCCCTCCGGCGCCGCCTCCAGCTGGTTTGCTTCGTGCGGCGCTACTTCTCGCCCCACGAGAAAGGGTACGATCCGGCCAACCCGTTGCACGGGCTGGTAGACACGCGACTCCTCACCAAGCTGAGCACCTTGCAGAACATGCTCGCATGGCTGGTCGCAGGAGCGGTGAAGTGGTACCAGAACGGACAGCAGCTGTACCTCATGCCGAAGCGGAGCATGGACGCCCTGCAGGACTACGAAGAGGCGGCGGACGATTTCGACAACTTCGTCCTCAACAGCTGCGTCAAGGGCGATGACCTCTTCATCTCGACGAGCGATGCCCTCAAGGCGTACAACGACCCGCAGAGGATGGTGGGCGGCAAGTGCGTCGGCCATATTTGCTCGCTCGACACCAAGTCGCTGAAGTCGGCAATGAACAACCACGGCTTCTCGGGTCCAGAGAAGCCCAGCAAACTTGGCCTTGGTGTAAAGTATTGCGGCGTAACGGAGCGAGGATATAAGGGTCTTGCGCTGAAAGCCCTAGAGGTTAAGACGGAATAGGAGGAGAGGAACCACTGAATACTCGTGGTTTGGAAAATTGGCCAGGATTGATTGTATTAAGTGAAACTTAAGTACTTTAGGCTGTTGCTTAGTGTGAATGTTGTATCTTTCCCGGTATGGCCTTACATACATACATATTGGCAATTGGATCCCACAAGGAAAACTTCGTACTACTAATCTCTTATATTCTCTTCTCCAAAAAGTCCATTACAACATTGCATCTTTTCCGGTATAAACTTACATACATACATATCATCAATCCAGAACCAAAGGGAAAAGTTTGTACTACTAGTCTGTTATAATCCCTTCCCTGGAGAAGAAAGAAATTATAACGGATTGTAGTATAAACTTTTCGGATCTCGGCCGAGGTTGCTAATATGTATGTATCTAAGGTTGGGCCGCCACTCTCACATGTCGGCCGGCTTGGTTGTAGCATACGAGGAATCGTACGACTAAAGCACAAAATGGCTGGACACATGTATCTTTTGTCCATCATGTCCTCCAATTCGTTTAATAAAGATTCACAATGTTCAAACAATCTCGGTGGTCCAGTCAAGTGCAAGCCGGACTTGGACACGAGCATTTCCTGTCCGTCCGGTCCTCCTGTCGACTCGCTCCATGAATTACAATATTCCACTCAGATTAGATGGTATGGTCAAGTGGGACCCGGACTTGGACACGAGCATCTCATGTCCGTCATGTCCTCCTGTCGACTCGCTCCGTGAGTTACAGTATTCAACTCATATTAGGTGGTATGGTTAAGTGTAAGGTGACCTTATGGAAACGGTGTATTCCTTTTTTCTTGGTGCACCGTAGAATCCTTGACTTGAATGGACGCAATTTTGGGCTATCGTCCTCCAACCACTTTTGCAATCGAGCGGATGGATCGAGCTGTTTTTGAGAGTGGAAAGACCGCAATAGTGAGATCTTACAGAGAGTTTGGGATGCTTGAAACCATTCTTGATCCAGCAGCCCTTGCAGGAATCCGCGCTCTTGCAGAACCAGTCAACTTGCGTCATATTACCAGAGCGCTCGTGCGATCTCTGAATGCTGAAGGATTTCACTCATATTGGGATCGAAGCGGCATCCATGGCCCATTTGCTGTTAAGGTCAGTTCGCGGGTTGCCCTCAAGAACGCGTCTCGCGCTCAACGTCAAGCAAAGAAGCTACGTTCAAGAGAATCCCGATTGAAGAACATGTCGTATGAGCGAGAGTCGGATCTTCCAACCGCTTGCACAGACATCCGAGCCCGTTCTCCATCGAGTGCCCAATATGCCCGTAGCATGGTGTGGAGCGAGGCACCAATCTTGGAATTAGAGGCGCTTGCAAATCCCAACAAACTTCGCCATGCCACCGAATCCCCACACAATGTGTCTCCCAGATACTGAATTGCTGAAATGGTCCCGTTTTAGAAATTCTGTACATCCATATTCGTGTATCTGGCAATAGTCATATATCGGCCGATAAAAGAGGGGCGTCAAAGCCCCCATATCGGCTTTTAGAAGCTTTTGCGCGGAAGATAACCATGAAAAGCTTTTAGGTGCCGCCAAAACGGTGAATACAAAGATGAACACGGATATTCGGTATCTGAGCATTCTGCGGCCACATGCCGTTCATCTTTAATTTCTCGGTATCCTGATACCAGAGGCATGGCAGCTTCGGATGCAAACACAAAGGTTATAGCAACTTTGTCGACAGCAGAACGGCTGCTTCACGAAATCTTTGATGACTCGACACGAAAGCCGCACACGGTCGAGCAGTACTGTGCTCGAGTCATGCGCCTCTTCAAGAGCATGCATGCTCCAAGAGAGGACTTCGAGTCACTTGAGTGGGTCCGAGATACGACCAAGATCATAGAGTATCTGGATAACGTGTTTTCAGACAAACTACCGACCCAAGCAACGAGCATCAGCCCTCTCCTTGTTATTGCTCGGAAACTATGGCCCAGTGATCAACAGACCTACGAGGCACTTTTCAAACGATACTGTGCCGTTAGAAAGGCCATGGAAGAAGCTCGACCACCCCAGCACATGTCAGAGCGTGAGGCCAAAAACTGGAAGTCCTTGGACGAGATCAATCAACGCCGCATTGAGCTTCAACGGAGGGTCAATCGGTCCATTGCGCCAAAAAAGCCAGAAGAGGTCACGGTTGGGGACAAAGTGACTCTGTGTCGCTATTTGGTGTTGTCTCTGTACCTTCAGATGCCGGCGATTCGGAACGACTGGAGCGATCTTCCGATTGTGCGCTTCGAAGAGGTTGGGAGCACTGCCGCGCGTGAACTGATGGCGGGATCTCGCAACTACCTTCTACAGTATGCAAAGGGCAGTTATAGGCTCCACCTGAACTCCTACAAAACCGACAAAACGCATGGACGGCAGGTTCTTAATATACCGGTCCGGCTTTGCAACGTGATTGCGGAAAGTCTTGATATTTTTCTGCGAAAGTACCTGCTCAGTCGAATGAGGACACCGGACGCTCCAATGGGGTCCGGCTACTTGACCAAGTTTCTGGCGGCAATTTACCCCATTCCAAATTTGGGATCGTGCCTCCTTCGAAAGATCACTGTCAGCAATGCGATGAAGGATGCGCCATCCCTTCAGGACAGAGACCAGCTTGCCAGATCGATGTTGCACACGGCTCCAGTAGCAATGCGCCATTACGAACTCAAGTACAGACCCGATGGATCTCGAATCCAATTCTAGACGCTCTGGCTCCTCGACCACCTTGCCACTTACCCCTCATTCAGGAGACTTCGATGCTTGTGAACGCACTCAAAGACACGGTGGGGGCTTTGGACTCGCCTTCCGTTTCCAAGGGGGCGGCCGTCCGGGACACATCATACCCGGCGTCTATCAAGCGCTGAATTGTGGCCTTGTGGAGCTTTCTTGTGGTCCCAGCAAGCAAGCGTTTGTATGCTTTTTGCATGAAAATGTTCTCCCGGTTGCGGCCATAATATCTTCGAACGGTCTGCGCATGTTCCGCATGGTGTTCCTTTTGGTAATCACGACTCGTCTCACAAACGCGGCAATGGCATGGATAGAGCTCGGTGTCACTTGAAGAAATCGTGTTTTGGACCATAATCACGCCCTACAATGAAGCTTCGAAAAAAAGTGGTACAAAAACGCAGATGTCAAGAGAGCGCGTTTCAATCGTCTCATATTCTTTCCTCACTGGAGTATAGAAAGGAATGGCTACGTCGGATGTTGAACGGGCAAACGCCTCTCGATCCTAGGGGAAGGCTCAGACAGCCAGAGACCCCAAGGCCCTAGGACCCGTCAGCATCAGGAACGAGATACAACGACTCTGTAACAACGGCTTATACACACTTCCAGTGTCCGTCTCTTGGGATCGGAATAGAGGCTCGAAGCAAGCTGACTTTCCTGACAAGTATGCACACATCAAAGATACAGAGGCATGGGGGCAATCCATCAATCAAGCAATGAAAGAGAAGCCAGATGCAAACGGGCTTGCGATACTTGCAGGAGTCAGTCGAGTGTATGTGATCGACATTGATGTAGCTGCAAAAGGGGGCAAGCGACCAGGGACCGAGCTCTGGCAGCAACTTGTTGAGATCCACGGGGAGCCGGAGACACTGAAAGCAAGGACCGGCTCTGGTGGATTGCACTTGTGCTTCAAGCTCGACTCTCCAGGTCTCACGTGGAGACGAGATTTTCAAGGTCTCAAGGTCGACAACGAGACTTTTGGCGTTGATGGAAGAGGAATCGGTGGTGTCGTGTTCGCTCCACCAACAAGCTACTTGAATGCTCACGGCGAGCTTGCAACATATGAGTGGATAAATGGACCTCCCAGCTATGAAGCGTGCCAAGTTATGCCCATTTGGCTTGCAGAATTGGTCAACAATCATGCACGTCATAGTACCGGTGCGGCAACAATTGATGAGGAGGAGGGTGGCGAGGTTTTGGGAGCAAGCATTGATGCGCCCATGCCGGGGCGTGTGGAAAGTCCAAGCTTCGAGCAAGATTGCTCGAGCCCAAGTTTGGAACCGCCACACGGCAGGGTGCTCTTGTTGGCAGAACTCTCAAAATTG